CCTCCTCCTCCTCCACCTCCTCTACCAGAATGTTCCTCTCCTTTACCTCCTGTGTTTTACTCCCCCGTTCACCAGTCTCCTCCCTTTTCTCAGCCATGCCCTCTTCCTTCTTTCATCAAACTCTCTGCGGCTCCTCCTCCTCCACCTTCATCTCTTCTTCCTCCCCCTCCCCCACCTCCACCAAATCCTCCTCCTCTCCCACCTTCATCCCTCCCCAATCCTCTCCCACCTTCATCCCTCCCCACCCCTCCTCCTCTTCCTCCTTCTCCTCGACCTCCTCCTCCACCCTATTCCTATGCTGTCCGGCATACCTCCCATCATGCTCTGGTGTCCACCATGTTATCATCAATCAACTTCCCTCCTCCTCCAACTTCCCCTCCTCCTCCTCCATCTTCTCCTCTTCCTCCACCTTCAGAACTCTCAGAACTGCCAATTGCTGACCTTCCTCCTCCTCCACCACCTCCTCCTCTTCCTCCTCTCCCCACAACCCTCCCCCCACCAGACCTTGGAAATTCTCCAAACCGCCGTTTTAAATTGGCCACGCCCCCTCGCCCACTGGTCACTGCTCAAGCTTTGCAAGGCGTCAAGCTTCGCTCCGTCAAGAACCAGGAAGCCCTGCTCACGAGCATAATGCTAGCCAGTGTGACATCAGGGGATGCTACACTCCAAGCTAACGCTAACCGTGCTAATACTATCAATGATCTACCAGGCAAAGAGGCTCGTGCAGACAGTGCTTTGCTGGCTAATGCTAATCTTGATGACTGGGCCAAAAGTGTCTGTGATCTAGGTAGCAATGAAGCTAACATAACTAGTGCTTTAATGGCTAATCCTAGCCTTCATAGCACAGCCAGCGCTGATGCAAAGCAACCTGGATGGAAAATAGCAATAGAAAGTGATGCGAGGACACCCAGCGATGACTCGGTGTATGCTAATCTTCAGAGCCTACGAGGCATTGTTGCCAGCCCAGCTAACCAGAGACACTCTGGGTCTAAGCTGACCAATGGTGAAACTCCTCAAGACATCCGGTACAATGAGCGAGACAAGGAAGATTCAAACATGTATGTTACACTGGAAAACAATCCAGCCTCCAGTCCTGATAGTCCCTGGGTCCGAATGTCTCATGATGCTGACATCAACACAAGTATCCAGTATCCTTCTTCGCAGCAACAAGAAGTCACAGATACAATGTCAGCAGATGCTAAACTAACTGAGCCGGCAAAGAAGCTGGAAAACCCTGAGGATGTTTGGCACACAGATTCCTCATACTGGACCCTTTCTGGAACAGAACAAGAGTCTCATAGAGAAAGCAGAACAGAAATAGAGACAGTTGACAAGAATAATTCAGGAATGTGGAATCACAGTGCAGCAGATGTAGATTTTACAGCATATAGTGATTTTAAACAGAGTGACAGGGTCTGTAAGTCGGGTAGCCCCATGAAGCTTCGCTCCCCAGAGAAGCCGGTCCTTCCAAAGAAGCCGGATCTTTGCATTCTGGGTCTCACGCCGTCCCCTGAGGCCAGACAAGGACCAGTTGGATGGAAGAGCAACGGACAAATCCCAGCACCTTCTCCTGGGTTCAACAACCAATCACAGCTTCCCGTTAATTCCTCTTGCTCACCTTCGCACACACACCTGACCCACAGTATCCAGTCGCCAAAGCACTTGAAATGCACCACTGTTGACAAGTCGACTGCCGACATCGTCGCGTACTCACCTGCTGGTTCTCCTCACAGGCAGAAGCCACCGATTCTGCACAAGAAGCCAGATCTCTCATTGGCCTCACCCAAAACAACCAAACCACTATTTGTGTCTAGAAATACAGGGGAGGCATCCAAAGGTACCTCTGGGACCTGTGGAACCCTGACTCAGAGCACCACAGGGACCCGTAGCACCTTAGGGACCTTGGGCACCTCTGCATTCGTGGATACCACAACAGCTGAAAACACCTTAAATGGGACTGTGGGTACCTATGTGAACTGTGGTACCTCAGAAACTTGGGACGCCATGGAGACCAGTAGCACCTTAGGGACCATGGGCATCTATGGGAACTGTGGTACCTCAGGCATCATGGGTATCTCAGAGACCTGGAGTATCATAGGTTCTCCCAGCACTATCAATGGGACCATGAGTACTTTGGAGAACTGTGGTACCTCAGGAACATTGGGAACCGCAGAGACCTGTAGCACCTTAGGGACCATGGGCATCTATGGAAACTCTGGTCCCTCAGGAATCATGGGTATCTCAGAGTCCCGAAGTATCAAAGGGACTCTACACTATGGTACCTCAGCAACAATCGGAACCTCAGAGACCTTTGGGAACTCAGGGGCCCATGCTGCTACTTCCACCCAGACAGGCAGCGGCAAACCTGGAACAACAGACCCCACTAGTGCTGGGATCATCCAGACAAGACTTTATAACGATGACAAGGAAACATTTCTTAAGAGGATGATGAGGTCATCGCTGGCTGGAGAGGAAGAGGACGAGAAGGAGAGGGTGAAGGAGAGAGGGATGAAGATGACAATGATGATGCCATCCACCACTAGGAAGAAAGACAAAACAAGAAAGAGGAGGAAGAGGAGGCCAGGCAGACAACTGCTAATGATGTCAACAACAATGAAGCCTTCTCCCTCTTCATCATCATCTTCGTCTTCATCATCTTCATCCTCATCTGGAGACGAACGAGATTTGATGAAAGAGAGAACGATGCAAACGAGGATGATGAAAGTATGTGATCAAGACACAAGTGACTCTGAAAGCTCCTGCACTCTGATTGGTCAGAGCAAGTACTCCCTGAGCAGTGCGCTGTCCACCGACAGCCTGCGGGGGGAGCTGTCTCTCCCAGACCTCCTGATACAGGAAGAAGAGGAAGAGAGGAGCGTGGTGGCCAGGGAAGCAGCAGACAGGAGAAGGCAGGAGGTGAAGGAGGCCAGAGGACCTCCAGATGGTAAGTTAGGTTTACAGAAGATGCTCTTAAGGCTAAAACACAACGCAACTAATCTCTCCTCATCCGTTGTTGTTCACTGCGATAGTAAGAGACGACCCTGGATATAAGACAGTTTGGTCTCTTAGTCGGAGAAGGGAGAACCTCGAGTCAGACATATAGACTTGTGGACTTAAAGGGCTTGAATTGACCTGGTACTTCCCTCAACAGAGAACCGGGATGTTTGATTTCTGACCAGCTATGTACATCCATTCCAATCAATGTAGGTTCACGTAATGTAGTTTTTGGGGGGCAAAATAGGCCTTCTTTGCAGCTGTTATTCAAGGTTCAATATGTGGTGTAATTCAGTGAGAAAGCTGCCTCTAAAATCCGGTCTTTACAGAGCCCAACAAGCATAAGCAAGCTAAATTTTCTGCCTATTTGTACACATGAATAAGTATTTTGTTTTTATAGAGCTAGTAAAAGTTGAAGATTACAGACTGTGTTGCAACGCAGGCTGCTGAGTACAGGGACCCTTTTATTCTAATTCATGTGTGACTAAAATTAAAAATACTCGGTTTAAATTTTCTCTTTGTTTCTCCGTCCAGCTGATGTGTTCGTCAGTGTTTCGGCAGATCAGATGTTTATCTCCGGTCGACCGCGAACCACAGAGGATCTGTTCGCTGTTATCCACAGGTAGGAACACACAAACACAAACATAAACACTGTTACCGTAACAACCAGTCGATCACGCTCTAATCTGTCTGCTTGATTCATCCTTCTGCCTCGGTGGAGCAGTGCAGTGTGGGAAGGCACGGCGTGAATGCCCTCGTAGGCAGGGTTTGGCAGCAGGTAAACCTGTGATTGGTCACTGGATGTGTCATAGATGGAGTTTAGTTCTTGACCCTTGGTAGGTTTAATTAGATCACCAGTTACCATGTCCCCTTGCTCCGTCCTTTTCCCCAAACAGGAAACTTTATTTGTTGTCCCCTTGTTTCCCTACTGGTCGTCTGTTTTCTATATTTCCCCAAATAGTACACTTCTTCCTTGCTCTGTCTTCCCTAACAAGGGTGCTTCTAGTTTTGTTTCCTTTTATTGAAAGGTTCCTACCTCTTTGATTTCCAACAAGGACCTTCCTTCTGCCCTAAATAGGGCTGCATTAATAAAATCACAGCTATGGTAAAATGTGTGACAAGACAGCAAATGTAGTTTTGAAGTGCTGCAGAGATTCCCTGGACTACAAATCTTGTTTTTAAGATGCAAGAAAATATGTTTGTTTGGTACAAACTCCTACAGATGTCACATTATAATGATTTAACAGTATTTTCAGTGACAATTGTGACGCTGAATCATATTGCAATCACACTATCAAAATAATCCCAATACGATCAAAGCTTCATTTAAACCATATAACTATTGTTAAACATGCTAATGCTATCCACGATCTACCGAGCAGAAAGGCTCAGACACCCGGAAAGACTCACTTCACACAAGAAACCTGCTAGACTCCACCTTATTTAAAGGGGAAGTCAAGGCAGGTAAAAGGTGCAGTTATAAATCCAACAGAAAACACAAAAGTATTATCGGATTACGTGTTTAATCTGTAAAACACTAGATTACTGCAGTAACTGATAGCTGCAGCCCTGTTGCAGCACCTGCTTCTATGGCCGACGCTCGGGAGCAGTTTGACAAACCTTCAAGTGTGTGACTGGTCTTTCTGTGTTTGTCTCAGGTCTAAGAGGAAGATGTTAGGAAGAAGGGACTCCGAGGACGACCGACATCATTCCTCTTCCTCCTCCTCTTCCTCCTCGCCTCCGGTCACCCCCACTGACCCCCCGTCCGGCCCGACGCGACCCGCAACCTTCAAAAGTCAAAGATTGTCGAGGAGCGAAAGCTTTAAAGCTCTCTTGCTGAAGAAGGGTAGTCGCTCCGATTCGTCCTCTCGAATCTCTGCTGTCGAGCGGCTTTGCGTAGTTTCTTCTCCTGCAGCCGCCACCGACCTCCAGAGTGCACCGCCGCTGCACACCGCCCCCACAACCCACGCCTCGGACACGTGTCACATTAACACCCACCTGACTCAGGATGTCCCGGTGTCGCCCTCCTCTCCGTGTCCTCAGAAATCCTCCATGATGCTCAGATGGAGGCAACAGGATCTGATGCACAACCACCTCCTCCTCACCTCCTCCTCCTCCTCCTCTTCCCCCTTCTTCTTCCTCTCCTCCCCCTCCGTGCGTCCTCGCTCCCTCACTCCACCCTGCTCTTCCAGCAGACGCTTTGCTGCTCGCTGCCACCTCTACGCCGCCCCCATGACCGCCATCTTTGAAGTAGAGAGCGAGGAGGAAAAGGAGGAAGAGGAGGAAGACGACGAGGTTTTTCTCGAGTCTCCAGGAGCTGAAGGAGAGTTGAGGCAGAGATTGGTCGTTTCTTGATGGACGAGTCAAAGGTTAAAACCCTGGTTTCAACAGGAACTCAACGGAGGGTCGCTCTGATTCTAAACCTCGTCCTCAAATCCAAAGACCAATAAAATCCTACCTGAATGTGACGATGTCTGGGTCTCCTACAGATCCTCATCAGGTTTAAATCTGGGCTGCCTCAGCAAACTGAACTGGATCGGACTGAACTGGATTAGACTGCGCTGTATCGGACCTCATGGCGGTCTGGGGCATTTAAATGAATGTACTGAAGCACACTCTGATAAAGGAAATGTCTTTAGTCGCTACACTGATGAGTCTAAACTACAGAAGCCTGAAAAGGACTGAATTATTCTTATTTATAAGAAAACAATGTTAATCTCCAGTTAATGTACTTAAATTTATTATATTGCCTTTGTATCTTTGCTTGATTTAGCTTTGTCTTTTTTTACTACTTGCGTAGATACTGAACATTTATTATACGTGTTATTTTGTCGTCTCTCTGGTTTAATGTAGCAAACACAACTTATAACCAAAGACGACATTAGTTTAAATCTGAAACTGATTCGAGATCTTGACATTAAAAACTGTTTTTCTTGAGATCACAGAGTGAATGCTACAATAAATAATAATAATAATAATAATAATAATAATAATAATAATAATAATGTAAGTTCTTATATTTTAAAGTTTTCCCCAAAGTTCTCTGACTTTGTTCTTACAGATAAAGATAAAAAAACGTTTACAAAACTAAACAATGACCCTTCCGAAGCCCCGCCCCTTTTTGGTAAGCCTCTGTCAACTTCCACCTTTCCTGTACTTAGATATGCTACGTGCTAAGCTAATCTATGTTGAAAAGACATTTTTTGAAGATGGTTAAAAGATAAAAGACATTTTTCTACAGAGCAAAACATTCATTCGTTAGCGAGCTAGTCTAGTTACATCTAAAAGCTATTGTTAGCTGGCTAGCTAGCTAATTTACATCAAACGTTAGCTAGTTAGCTATGGTTTTGCTAATGTTAGCTTACTTAAGATGCAGGAAAGGAGAAAGCTAACCGAAGCGTGTTCAACTGCTATTGGAGCACAGAGCAAAAAGGGGTGGGGCTTAGGAAGGATGAGTTCTAATGATATCAAATCATTGATCGCTATCATTTTAATATTCTGATATTTAATCAGCATTCTGCTTCTATTGGCTTTAATTTGAATTGAGCTGTTTCTGATTTGACTCTTTCTCTTTTTTAACACATTATTCTTCAAATTAATCTGAATTAATGTGGAATATTTACACAGTTATAACTAATAATTTGTGTACAGTCCCTCACATTAAATCTCAGTTTATCCCCATAAAACATATACATCTGGATGCATTTTATTATTATTATTATCTCAGCAGCTTCGGTTCTGTTTCACTTTGACTCCACATGTACAACTAAAGTCTGTTTTTTTACTGACTGTATGATTAATAAGGGATATGTAGTTTGTCCTGTACTGTAAATAATTCATCTTCTCCTTTCTGCTGCTGCTGGATCTTTTCATGGAGCCTCAAATCTTTTTCTTTTTTTTTTAATTAAACACAGTAGCAGATAGTAAGACGACGTAACTTCTTATGGTGGAACTTTAGAAACATAATAATCTTCTTTGTGCGAATGTAAGAGGTTCAGATTTACTCTATTAATCATAAAATAAAAACCATTTAACTGGAATTACGAAGGCAGAATGAAAGAGATCAATAAGAGAAATTCTGAATGAAAAGTGTTTGTATGTAACAACTGGAAGCATTTAAATAAAGGAAACTGAGGAGATGGAGAAACGAAGCAATAAAGAACAAAATATGATTATTCATTTGATTTATTGTCGGTTTGAACACTATAAATAATAACATACAGAACATGAATGAATCAATTTTCTACTGATCAATTACTCTGAACAATCTACCAGGGTGCTGTTTGTACCTCTGCCCACTGGGTGGTGCTGTGGATCAATTCTGGTTCTGCAGGTGGTTCAAAATCCCAGCTTCTGGTCCCTGAATTGGTTTTAAGGAGGTTTAAAGGGTCTTTCCAATGTTCCAGCAATTCTTTATAAGGTGTGAGAGTGTTTAAAAGTGTGAAAAATGTTCTTCAAGAGTCTCCAAGCGGTTCTAAGGAGTTCAGAGGGTTTGAAGAGATCTTGTGCAGGATTAAGAGGATGTTCTTGAGATGTAAGGGTTTTTGCAAAGAATTCAACTTGAATTAGCTTCAGGAGGCTCTTTAGGATCCCTCAAAAGTTTATGGGGATGTTCCAGTGGTTCTTACGAGGTTGCATGATGTTCCCAAGGTTCCTGAGGGGGTTTTGGGACCACTTGAGAATTATATAGGATACATTAGGAAGTTTCTGAGGCCCTTGAGGAAATGTGAGAGGTTCTTTTGATGTTCCAAAGGCAAGAGGAGGTTCTTGAAGGGTTCTGAAGGAGATTATAGGGGCTCTATAGGTTTTCACCGAGGTTCCAGGAGTGGTTTTAAGGGGTTGTGAAGGAGGTTCCAGAGGTTCTTATCTTGCTTACTACACCCACCCACTTTTATGAATCAGATTGATCTGTGCTCAGATTAGTTTGGCTCACTAGTTTTGTCTTTAATAAACTCCCATAGAACCCCCATCACACTGTCCTACTGAGATATCGGAGAGAACAAAGAACCGGGTTGTCCCTCGGACCGCCGACGGCTGCGTAGATGTGTGTTTTTGGGTGGAAGAGGTCAGATGAAGCAGTCAGACAAACATCAGTATTGTCAGGATGATGCAGCAGTGTGTCTGTCCTGGAGGAATAACAGAATATCAAGTGTTTATTACTGAGATTGTTACGTTTTTGCCTTCAAACTCCAAAAGACACAAGACGTTTTATTTATGAGGCTTTTTATTTATGCCGGCCTGGTTGAGGACTGAAACCGGGACACGTGTGGCTGCCGGCGAGGACGCCGAGCAGCTGCCTGGTGGTTAGTTTGGTGTTTGGGGACAGAAGGATCCAACACACAGAGAGAAAGTTATTAATTTAATTCAGTTTTGAGGACATTATTTCAGGTCAAAGGTCAGAGGAGTGAAACAAAGATGGAGGACTCACACCTGCACACACCTGGTGTTGTTTTTGGCCGTTCACACGTGGGTAAGAATTTGGGTGAATGCCCTGTGTGTGTGTGTGTGTGTGTGTGTGTGTGTGTGTGTGCTTTTCTGTTGCCATGGTAACCGTTGTGTGTGTGTGTGTGTGTGTGTGATAACACTAAGTGAACCTGGCAGAACGGAACGCTTTCACTGAGTGTGTTTAGTTTTTCTTTCATCACAATCGGACCACTAACATGTTTTTATCTGCTTTATTCTCCTAACAAATGGTCGTTCTTTCTTCCCGTCGGGCCTTCTTAAAGTCTCAGCACACTTCAAACAGAGTGCCTTTAGCTTTGTGTAACAGCGTTTGAAATCCAAAGAGTTGAACAAAGAACAAAGCCGAGGTAAAGACTGTCAACAGTGAAAGACTGAGACATCAAAACCTTTATTTAAACGGCATTTTACAGGAATTTATACGGAATAGCAGAAAGAGTTCTACTGTATTTATAACTTATTTTTACAATGTACTTTTACACATAAAACATCTGATAATCATTAAAGATTAAAGGTGCTTTCAGTGATGTTCTGCTGGGCTTTAAGATTACTTTCCCCAGTAACTTATATTGTAACTAATTACTAATAAGTTAACTCCCAAACAATCATTAATCACAACCTTCCTCCTGTTGAGCTGAAATCCAACCATCCAATCACATCCTTGGATCCATGTTTGTCATTCATCATTAATTAATTAATTCATCAATCATTCATTTGCTTTGAACAAATAAAACTGGACTTTAATGGTCGTCAGTCTGAGTAAGTGAGTAATAGGTAAAGTAGGACTTCCACATAATGTTCCTCCATAATGAATGTGTGAATCAGTTACCTGCTGCAGCTTTAAAGCTCCACCTGCATCCAACAATATGTATGAATTATTATCAGGACCCCGGCCGAGTCTGAGGCGGTCCAGAGGAGGGCGGCACCAGGAACAGGCCTGGATCCGTACGCGGTGGAGTTAACGGCCGTGAGAACAGTTGCTCTGACCTGCATGAATAAACAGCCTCTGTGGGAGATACAGGGCGCCATTCCTCCGCACGCCTCCGCTGTAAGCCCCGTGTAAATACAGGTCCAAAACATGATCACTCACATGTACATATCTGCTGCACACACACACACACACACACACACACACACACATTCCTGCTAAATCCTGATCCGCTAAATCACCGCTATTACCAACCTTTTAATGTGTAAATGTGTTACATTCACTGTCCGCACACACACACACACACAACAACCCACACACACAACAACGACGCATACACAACACAAACACACACTCTGTTCTCACGTTTCCACCCTTATTTGTTCTTCTGCTCTATCGATATCAGAATCACTCAGCTTGGCTCTCGTGTTTAGGTTGTAATAAAAAAAATGTGTTGTGGTGTGTGTGTTGTGTACGTTGTTTCTCATCTCTGTTGTTATTATGTTTATTTATAATACTCTCTCTGGTTTCCAGTGCAGGTGTGAGGACAGGCGGGCGTCCGCCGCATCAGGGCCCAATTCCGGTCGAAATTAAAACCTAATCAAATTGTAATTCACTATCATGTAAAATAAAAAATGGTAAAAAAACTGTGTAGAGAACTCTTAGATAGTATGATAACTCTGGAGAATCTATCCATCTAGCCGCATCGCTCACAGACTGCCAAAATCCTCTTCTGAAACTTCTCTTTAGAGTCAGGGACCTCCAGTCTTATGAATTAGACTCAGGTAATTCCCGAGCTCATCTTGTGGGACTCCATGGACCTTGCCTGGCACCTGGACTCCTGCTTTACCAGCCACTGGAACCTTCTCCTTCCAGAAAACCTCTCTGATTTTAGACATGACTCCTTCTGGACCCTTCAGGTAAACCCCTAAAAGGTTCTCCAATGATCACCTCCCTTCTGCTTGGTAGTAACCGTTTTATTTTACATAATAACCTTTTAATGTTTAATATAACTGGATATTCTCTGTCTGCGTATCGACGTGTTCTATAAAGAGTGTTGTTCCCAAAACGCATTAAGCCCACTTTTATATTGATATCTGTCATATTGCAGCAAGTTAGATGGTTATTGTCCAACTATAATAGTATCGAGTTACTCTCTAGTGTTTGTCTTGGTTAACAGCAGGAATGTGCTTGGCAATTAGTCTCAGTCGCGAATTTGTCATATTGTAGTGAGATATTATGATGTGGATGTTAAAAAGTTTCGCTAGCGTAGTAATCAAAAATCCCATTATGTGTGACAAATGACAAGTTAATATTGCTTGGTTACACTGATATAAACTGAATTTTGGACAGTTATCCAATGCTGTAATGTACATGATAAACACATTATTCGAACTCTCATCATTATAAGATTATCTTGTCAGTTATAACTAACTGATCCATTAAAGTTAACAACTAATTTTTACTGTTTGTCTGATAGTATATCATCTTTATAAAACTTTTAAACACGCATAGAGTTTTAAGGTGCACTTGTTACTGTAAATGGAATGAGTGTTAGGAGAGCAGGAAGAGTGAGAGGAGGCCTGGTTCAGTCCGACCTCATTATAAGGAGGGGTTCAGGTGAATGACTGTAACTACAGTCATTAGCACACTAACATTCATGGATTACAACATTAATTTTCATTTTACTTGTTGTATTATTTGTTGTGTTTTATTCTGAGAATCGCTACAAAAGGAGAACCTGTCAGTATCAACTATCTAATGCAAACAGTTAAACTGATCTGTGTCATGTTAACTTGATATCGATCAATAGAAATATGAAAATATAGATTATAAAGGTGTTGCCTCCTGATGTCAGCCTGCACGATCTCTTCCTCTGCTCTTCTCCTCCTCCC